AGGGTTTGAGGGTTTTAGGGGTCAAAACATTTTAGGGTTTAAAATTTTAAGATATAGATTTTATAAATCTATAATTAGTGGCATTTTTGCACAATGAACACCCCTAAGTGGTATTATTGCAAATATAAATACAAAAAGTGTTATTGTTGTAATTGCCCCGTATATCTAAACTCAAATTGAGATAATATTCTAAATATCTGAGTTTGTTCGTGAATATCTGAACCATTGTGTAAAAATAACAATAATTCAATTTGAGTTTGTTTGTGAATAATGCATAGTACCTTGTTGACTCTATATGTAGAGTTGTTTATAATTATTTCAAGTTGAGTAAAAATGTTTTAATTTAATTAAAAAAAATATTTATTTAAAAGAAATTTTAAAAAATGCACTTTATTTAATTACTTTAAACCATGTTCTCATTTTTTATAAACATGTCACATTTTTGCTAAGATATGTTATAGTTTTAAATCAATTAAATTAAAACACTTAAGCTAAGTATATAATAGTACTTTGGTTTTAATAGGAGGGGATCATAATTATTTTTCGAAAATTTATAACCAGAATTTGATATCTAAGATTTGTACTAAGATTTTTGGGGCAATTATAAAAATACCACTTTTTGTGTGCACATTTGCAATAATGCCACTTAGGGGTGTCCATTTACAAAAATACCACTAATTATAGATTTATAAAGCCTATATCTTAAAATTCTAAACTCTAAAAAATGGTTTGACACATAAAACCCCATAAACACTCAAAACTAAACCCTAATAGAACATAATTAACCCAAACATAAATAATTTTAAAAAAAAATAATTTTAAAAAAGTGGTATTTTTGTAAAGATTTCAAAAATGTGGCATTTTTGTAAAATGGCATTTGAAAAGTGGTATTTTTTAAAATTTCTCAAGATTTTAAACGTGTATTGACAAAGAAATAAGCAAATTAGCATATACTTGTTTAATTATTAATTATTTAAATTAAGCTTCATGTTAATAATTATTGATAGCGTTTGTTAGTGTTTATTTTAAATTCCAAAATAAAATTTGTTGATAACGTTTGGTAGTGTTTATTATAAATTCCGAAATTGTTGTTAATTTTCAAAAGGGATCCGAA